GACTGATCGATGACTCTTCCCTAACGCGATGAGCTTGCCTGCCTGACTTTAGCCTCCTACCCTTACCGTGTCGAACTTCGTTCATCCCAAACTAGCCAGTACGACCGCTACTTTGTCCCCAAGGTGTCAAGATTGTGGAAGAACCTGCCTGAGTAGGTTTTTTCCAGTTTTGATTTTGGCATGTATGGGAATAGTGTTCTACCGTTTTCAAGGTGCCAATTAAGGGAAGCACCTTCTAATCCCAAAACACACTGGCCATATTCTTTCTGGGAATTGCATTCGACTTCGCCGCTCAAAGTCGATGAATTGCTCCACAAATTGCTGAGCAAGTCATTTGCGATTTGCACTAAACTACACTACAAAAATTCGTGTAGATAAACTACTTGAGAGAAGTCGAAACTTTTCATACGAACAAATGCAGTGCACCCATGCATGAATTATAAATTTTCGCTTATTGGAGTGAGTGATATAACATTTTTTATATGTTTTGAAAGAATGAAAAGTCGAAAGAAGAACGTCTGTGCAAAAATTTCCAGTTTCTATATTCAGCGGTGTTCTCAGTTGATGTCAGTCATGCGAATGAGTAAGTCATCGTGCTCTTTTATAGTGGGTGTTTCCTTATTGCGTGTCAATATTTTAGGAAGAGATTCTTACGTGCATTTTAAGAATAAAACTTCGCATGTCCTAAACGTTTCAACGTTTGAGATGCAGAGTGGTAAAATTTTTAAAAATAAATCATTTGCCACGCCACTGACTTTCCTTAAAATAAATAACAATAAGTCTGTGTTCATCTATGAGCAAATTTGATTTCACCGAAAACCGTAAAATCTATCTCTCTATATATGGCGATATTGTCATATTACGATCATGCAGAGATACGGTTTTAATTTTTCTGCCAAATGATGCAGGTGAAATTCCATACGACGCCACTAGTGGAAAAAATGTGATAAATTATATAAATGTCTCTTGGTACAAGTACATGTATGCCAAATTTCATTAAAATACGTAAAGTGGTATTGCGGGTCTTAATGAACGATTTAATTTTGCAAACTTCACTACCATGCCAGTCTTGGAAGTGCAAAGGAAAACAACGGCAAGTAACAGTCATGTGACAATTCTAAGGCAATCGATAGTGATCCGAAAATAAGCACCTACCCACCTTAATAACTAGAAGACATCGAGTCTTCACGATAATTAATGATAGAGGTTGGCGTTTTACACGGAAACCACTTTAATATAACACAATACAAACTTTGTGCTGCACTTTCACGTTTAAGTGCATGTCTGCAATAGATAGATGTAATTTCAGGCTCAGCAAGGTAACTAGCACCTACTGCACCTTTTCCTACCCAATTAAAACGATGTACAAGAAAATGTGTGGAAATTGGGGTATTCTAAATTGATTAGGTAGTTTGAGGCATTGAGTCACACTGAACCAGCTGTTATACTGTGATACTTAAGAAAGTTAATACGTGGATAGCGAAAAATGAGGACTGTTATGGAGAAAATGAGTCTATTGCACAAAAAGACATCAAGACCAAGATCTATCCGTCATCTTCATTTGAGTCTAGGCTTTTAAGTCTGCTTTTCCATATGATATCGTTTAATATTTTCGTAGAACTCTTTGCTATTCCATAAAGCCTAGGCACTCATTTTGAATGTATGTTGCCTGTCTGTTACTCCGATATTCGTTGACCCTCTGGGGAGGATAACAGCAGCTGCAGAGCTTTAGAGTTCCGGACCAATGGTTCGCGAGTCATCAAAACACTAAGAGATCATCGTAGTTTCTATAAATCCGACTACTCGGCTTTTGATGAATTTGTCACCAGGATACAATGATAAAGATAAAAAAGTTTTATTGTTTTTGAGAATTGGTCTAGAATAATCAATAAACAGTTACCTAAAACACTACGATCTAATAGGTCTGTTCAAACTTCATATACTCCACGAAAAAATCAAACATCAACACCCGATTGTCCTTCCTGTTTGCTTGTCCCTGCCTACTTGGTATTCATGGCGCGCTGGCCAGTTGGACCGCACAAATTTGAACTTTGCCACCTGGTGTTTGCTTAGACGTGGAGTAAATGAGACCTGATTACTCAGTACATTGCAGTCCATCCGAGTGCTCAGAAAGAGTAGGACAATATTTTGTTATGCACGTGGCCCTGCTCGTTTGCCATGTCTACACAAACTTTGATCATATGCAAGTGCTGATTACAGTTTGTAAAAATAGCAAGTAGGTTGGATCTGCATATCTAGTGCCGTATCTAGAACACTAGCTTAAAATTAGGCTGTTAGATTTTAGAATATGTATGCATCTTGAAGTACTTTTTTGTTATCGACTTTATGCTCTCGGCCCATCATTAGCCAGAAACAAATTATACAGGGTGTAAACGTTATTATAGTAATTATTTAAATGGATGATAGAGGGAGTCAAAAGAAGCCAAAAGTTTCATATAACATGGGGGTCAAAACGGCATTTTTTTAGGGAAAAGCGACTATAAAGTAAAATAAAATCTGACAACGCCGCAATGCCAGACGCAAATTATGACGGAACGCAGTGTCAATAAAGATGGAGTTTGTTATTTTTGCTCTTAGGTATTATTTCATTATTTGATAATGTACTCGTAAAATGCAAACAATTTAAAAAAACGGACTTACCACTAACTGTCTCAGCGCTTCACCTGGTGTGTGAAAGCTTATTGAACGTATTAAAAAAATCCACTTATAAATAGGGAACACAATTTTGATAAACACATTGTTTTTCTTCTTAAAACCCACACTGCACTTTTTTTGTATTTAAAGAAGGTGTTCAAAATGTCATCCTACACTTTCCACACAAGCTTCATTACGACGAATCCAGTTTCTTCTTACTCTAGGTCCTCGAAGTTGTCCATTTATTATTTCAGCCGCATTAAATTTTTTTCGCGAAGTTGTGCTTCAGTTGTTATTGGACCAGCCCCATAAACCATCCCTTAAAGTTCTCCCCAATACCAGAAATTCATCGGATTGAGGTCAGGAGACCTTGCTGGCCATTTTCGAATATCAGGAGCATTTCCACCGATCCAGCGATTTGGATAATGTTCATTCAAATACTGAATGACACCTCTAAAAATGTGTGGTGGGGCCCCGTCATGAAGAAACCACACATTCTGTCTCCGTTGTAATGACATGTTGTCTAAGGTCTGTTCCAAAAGTTCTGGTAGGTTATTGGCTAGAAAGCTAAGGTATCCGTCTCCTGACAACTTTGAGGGTAACTCGAAAGGGCTAATTACCTGATCGTCAAGAATACAGACAGAATGTTAGTCTGCGAGGTTAGTCTTCTGGAAACAAGGCCTGCACTCGTTGTACACGGTAGAGATAAAGCAAATTTTCCCGTAGGATTCAATGGACTACGGTATGCAATAGTCCTACGCTGCGGCCTAAATCCCGATTGCTGATATCTGCATTGATTTCCACGATATTTAAAATTTGTTCCCCCTGCTCTACAGTAACCTGTCTTTCACGAGTGCGAATATTATTGGGCTGAACCCTTCCTATATCTCGAAGTCTTTTGTACACTTGCACAAATGAGCTGTAAGGTTTGAATTCTGACGAGCTTCACCATGAACTAACAGCATGTCGGCGAACTCTTGATTCGAGAACATTGTAAATCAAGATGACGTACGCGAACAAAAACAAAACATCATACTAACCACTGTTACCGTTTGCGATCGATAGCCTGTTCGATGAGAGTGATGAAAGACCGACGCGCTGTGGTCATGTGTATTTTAAATATTCAATTTAATGAAACTTGCTGACTACAAATTTTGGCTTAACTTAGAAAAACTTAATGCCATTTATTTGTTAATTACCCAATTTAAAAACGTTTTAGATCAGATTATAAAAATTAGTAAGATTGTCGTGATTGTGGTCGATATAAAGCACTTAAAGTTGTAAACTATCAAGCCATTTAGACATAAATCTATTGACTTTTGGACCATGAGTAATATGAACCTTTTGACTTGTTTTGACCTCCCCTATTACCCATTCCAATAATGACTACCATAACGTTTACTCCCTGTATACACATATTTCTTCATAATAATATTATCATTTGCAAACGCTGGATATTTTATACAGGATTCATACTAAATGAACAACCATTGACATACATAATTGAGATGACGTGAGTAAGTAGCAAATATAAATAAACAGGGGACACTAGCTTCTCGCCTAGGGGCCCGCCAAAGCATTTAATGATGATCAGTACTGAGCCACGTATAGTAGGAGAATTGCACAGAGGAACAAAGTACAGGATAAACGCGATTAAAATATTTTCTAAACCCGTATGTCGGAACTCTTAATGAATTTATTAGTGAAATCATCCACAGAATGTATAGTACCAGCCATCATATGGAATTCGCATAGATCTGACTGAATCACATTTAACATAACTAAGTAGAAAATTAACCATAACCAATCTTTGCACAGACGAAGCTCATTTTCTTGGGATATTAGGGTGGCCACGACGCGCGACGTAGTGAGTTTCAGCCCTTTACTAAGGGTTCAACTGCTTCGTAACTGATGTTCCGTTTTTCAGTATTTGTTAATGAAATTAATACAGTATGTTCAGAAGGTACTGTAAGAGCACTTTTCAAAATTTTGTTTTTGCACAAAAATAATGGTGGGGTGAAATGCTTGCCATTTTTGTTCAACTTCCTGATTTTTTTAAAAAGAGTCTAGAGGAAAAAATGGAAAAGCGGTTCGATAGCACCGTGCGGAGTTTTGTTTTCAGCACACTGTGAACGTTTCATTAAAAAATATTTAAAACGGTATCGTTAGTTGCGAAGCGAGGAACCTCTACAAATCGGCTTCCGTGCTGCCAGTCCTAGCGACGCGGTGGTATGTACGTACTACTAAAGTACCTACTTAGACTTTTACTGTGCTAGTGCTAGTTACCACGTATTGACTTTATTTAAGCACGTGGTTGATGTTTTATAATTCCTACTAAGTTTCAGGTTATTCAGATAATTCTGAGAACTATTTGAATTATTCCTCCTTGAAGTATAATGGCCTTGTGGATTGTCGACCTTCTTGACTTCTTGTTCTACTCATAATAGCTGATACACTAGTAGTACTAGTATACCAGTATCACTTTTTACTGATAAATAATATTGTATGGGTATAGTGAAACTGGAAGCTGAATATTTACAAATGTAATAAGCAACTCAACATGACCCGGTTATCTGACTTCCCCTTCCTCCAACGCGTTTCTGGCGTCAGTGAGCGCCATGGCAGTGCCACACGTAACGCATACGTTCTGAAAATTATTCTAATTACAATATAAAAGCTACGATATTCGTCTAATGAATTAACATAATTTATTCCGCGATAAATATTCATTAGAAAAAAATTGACACGACGGCTGGAGACGTGGATTGTGAGCATTGCGAGACTGGCAGTCCAATCGAGCGAACCGTTTTTGACTGGCTTGTAGGGAGCTCATTTGTAATTCAGGCTTTAATCTAACGCCCAGGATGGAAATGAAGTTATCGATCCCTTGTTGTGGGTCTGCATTGTCAGACTAGCTCGAAAAGTTCATTTGCTTTCCTTGGGGTGGATTTGGAGGAAGCGATGAGCGTCGATAGGAGGGTAAAAATGTCTCGGAAGTAGTTTTTGTAAGGCAAAGATAATGGCTGGCGTTTGGTCAATGTTTATAGAAACGCCGAATTTTCATGTATTCATACATTAGACATTCATCATTGCTAACGGTCCTTTTCATGCACCCAAAAGGACACTAGTTAAACATTTCAGTCATTTGAAAAATGAATATTTCAAAATTTGCTTCCACATCCGATCTTTGCACAGTTGACGATACTGGCTGGGGGCGTTATAACAAAGCATGCTCCCCTAGCAACTCTTTGTTGCGAGACGCAGTGGACTAAGCTCTTGCTCAAGTAGCTAAACATAAAAGACTCCTTCTTATAGAAACCTTTTTCTTCTTTTCTCCCTTTTCTAATTTCCTTCCTATCTTTTGTCTTCCTCTAGCCTCTGTTTCATACAAAATGTCTCCTAGCTAGCTGAGGATTTTGAGTCGGAAGTACCACATCTTCGCCTAATAACAGGTTTTGGCTAGATATATAAAGTACTGATGACTGCTAGAAAGTATGGTACAACATTGCATAGGATTGGTTATCGTCACGGAATTCTTTACTCAAACAATAAGTTCGTTTTTGATCTACTTATAAAATTCTTACATAAAACCAAAACATTTATATACTCGTAGATACCCATATCACTTATAAACGGTATGTGGCAAATGGGTCCCGCCCGCATTTTAACACTATGGTATAGGATTCGGCACCAGCCTTAATTTTATTGGTCGATTTCAATTTATTTAACCAATAACAAGCTGGGTGCCGAAATCACTATCGGAATGTTAAACAGTGCTGAAAACAGTGTCAGAATGTTATCAATAAACTGCTTCTACTAATATATATAAATATAACTTGAGACGTGGTCATTGTCGTCTAGACCAGTTAAGTGAAAAATTAAAGCTTCCGCCTTGTGTTGGGTACTTCGACAAAAGTTAAGCAAGGAGGACTCTTTATACTTTTTTTATTCTCTCTAGCTTCCAATGGTCTTTGCCATCATCATCAGGAGAGTAGTATGTGAGGATGTTGCTAATTATTGTTTACGTTAAGGATGAGGGAAACACCCAATAACATGCCCACCATTTTGTGCAATCATCAAGCGGCTTCACGATGTAATGATTAACTTTCAATTTCTAAAAAATGTTTTTATCTGTTTTTAACTTGTTCTTGTCATACAGCTGTGTGTATTTTATATAATTTTGACTATTGTACCATTTATCCAGCTTTCACCATGTTACTGGGTGTTTCCCTCATCCTTAACGTAAACAACAATTAGCAACATCCTCACATACTACTCTCCTGATGATGATGGCAAAGGCCATTGAAAGCTAGAGAGAATAAAAAAAGTATAAAGAGTCCTCCTTGCTTAAATTTTGTTGAAGTACCCAAAAAAAGGCGGAAGCTTTAATTTTTCACCTATATAAATATATATAAATTTTTCATGTAATTTTTCTTATTGCTAAACCAAATTATTAATTTTAAAATCATTAAATATCGTAATAGGAAACAACGTGCGTTGATTATTATCTTACGTATTTTTAGCGGAAGGTAAGTAAATTTAAATTTAAATTGATAACATTCTGACCCCATGCTCAGCACTGTTTAACATTCCGGTAGTGATTTCGGCACCCGGCTTGTTATTGGTTGAATAAATTGAAATTGACCAATAAAATTAAGGCTGGTGCCGAATCCTATACCATAGTGTTAAAATGCGATGTAAATTTTGCCACACACATACACACACACACATCGTCACAGAGATTAAAGCTTCCCTGAGAAAGTGCTGGAGTCATCTAGCACGTGTAGAACATACTGGAAAGGATCGGTATCGGTAAGGATCTATCAATACGATGGGGTCATGTCATGGAAGCGTCACCTCAAGAGTAAAGGTTGCTTTCCGGATGTGTTGGGAACCCCAAGTGTCAATGGCACTTGTGAGTTGGAAGGAAATACCCATAGAAGAAATACCCGCAAGGATCTTCGAAAATACCTCCGGTGTAGCTTTGGATTCTGTCACAACTGTTTCGTCGGTGCATGTCAGTAAGAGCCTCTTTCGATCTGCTTGGCTTGTTAAAGATTGCCTATTATGAGGCTGCAATAATGCATAACCTGTATGCTGGTTCTTGACATTATGAACAGTTTCTTTATCTGTTTCTAGGTTCTGTCTATCGTAGTGGGATTTTTATCTTTTACCTGGTATGTGTTGGTATCTTGCGAAAGAAAAGCTCCACATTATAGGTTAAATCAGTCGTTGAAGCCGACAAACACACTGTTACTGTATAAGTGATGTACTTCTCCATTCTAACATGAATTACTTGGATTATTGGCAAACAGACAGCTAATGCATCTGAATGAACAAAGTCAGCAAAAAAGACATGATTTTCCAAAGAAAACTGGAGAAAAAAGTATCTGAACCCTTCGTCTCTAATGCTAAAGTCTGTGGCCTGAGCGGGTTGCAGTTGACGCAGATTCGCACCGTAGTAAGAGATTGGACATCGGTGTTATAGAGAACATGGGCTCAAAGCCGTATTTTTTGTTTAGTCTCAATATACATACAGTGCTTTTCCTTAATGTCCCCCTCGCCTTTGATTTTTTGAACGGATTAATTCAAAAAACTAAAACTTGGCAGGGCGCCATCTTGGGAAAAAAATATATGAAAACGGGGATCTTGTTGCACATAATTTTGAAGCTCCTGACGAGTACTTTATAACCCTAGAATATAAAGTCAATACCTTTACCTACTACAAAATAGTGGTACGTTTAATAATTACCTGAATACATTGACATTTAACTTGATAAGTCAAATAAATACGTTGAGTTCAGTTTAGAAGATGCTGGAAATGGTTGCCTTGAACTTCTTGACACAATAACAGCCGGTCCGTAATTTCGCGTCGAACATTTTCAAACATAGTAACATCGATATTTCTACAAATATCTGTTATTCTCAGCCGTATATCCAATATTGAAGCAGGTTCCGTTTCGTACACCTTTTGCTTCAAATAGCCCCATAAAAAGTCTAAAGATGTCAAATCTGGCGAGCGAGCTGGCCATTCCACAGGACCTCGGCGGCCAATCCAACGACCGGGGGAATTGTTATCTAAATAATTCCTAATTTGTCTGTAGTAGTGTTCTGGAGCACCATCTTGCTGGAATACAATATCAGTATTCAATAGGATTCGCTTCGACGATTTCGGTGACAAGGGGGTCAATAGTATATTCCAGCATATCCAAATACAGTTCGCCGGTTAAAGTTTGTTTGATGAATAGAGGCCCCACAATATGATTTCCCAATATCCCGGCCCAAACATTAATTTTTTGTGGATATTGAGTATGAGTTTCCCGGAAGACGTGAGGTTTGGTCTCACTCCAATAACGACAACTTTGTCTATGCACATTACCGTTGAGAAAAAATGTACAGTCATCACTAAAACAAATATTTTGGATATAGGTAGGATGCCGTGCAATGGTTTCCGGCATAGTCTCGCAGAATTCTGTTCTTCGATCAGGGTCGTCTTCAGTTAGCTGATGTACCATTTGAATTTTGTATGGGTGATACTTATTCTTTTTCAAAAGTCTCCATACAGTAGAAGGACAAACCTCACATACGTTTGCGATGGAGGAAGTAGACTGTTGGGAATTTACTATGATCTCACCAACTATTTGAACTTGCTTTTCTTCCGGGATGGTCGGATGACCTGGGGGTTTTTTGTTGTTTACTCTACCAGTAGCTGTAAATTTAGCTACAAGTTCCCTTAAATATTTTCTACAGATACGACGATTCGGGAAACAATCATTAAAAATCCTTTCGGTCTCGTGAAAGTTACGCGTCGCACCATAAATAAAAATCGCTTCGATTTTTTCTTCCAATGGACGAGAATTGACCATTTTAAAAACAGTTCAAACAGTATCTAGCACTAAAACCGAAAACTAAAGAATATTTTAACTGTACAAAAAGTAACAAAACAAGTTTTTATCGCTGTTGCTGTGGATACGGCAGGGAATTACAATTATTTGTAGAGATCTGCATGTTAGTGGGTTTGTGTTCAAGTAATTATTAAATGTACCACCACTTTGTAGTAGGTAAAGGTATTGACTTTATATTCTAGGGTTATAAAGTACTCGTCAGGAGCTTCAAAATGATGTACCACAAGACCCCTGGTTTCATATATTTTTTCCTTTTTCCAAGATGGCGCCCAGCGGCCATCTTGACATTTTTCTCTGTCAATTTGACTCTAATATATGGTATCCACGCATCAATTTCGTTACCTCAAGTTTTAATTTTTTTAATTGATCTGTTCAAAAAATCCAAGAGGGGGGACATTAAAGAAAAGCACTGTCTATCTTTTGTAACATCATTTGAAACTACCTTATGGAGTATGATTGGTCGCAAGTTTTACTTTACTCCTTTTGCGATATAGAATCTATTGAACAGTGTACCTTGCAAGGGTAAATAAGCTTTTGATCTTAGTCCGTCAAAAAATCGAAGGTTGAATAATAGTTGAAAAAACTTACTTCCATTAGCTGGTATTTCAAGCGAATTGGAAACTGAAAAGATGAAAAGAATAGTTAATATTGCAACAGCTGAAGACAGTGATATGAACGTGTATGTAAATAAGTAACAGAAGGTACTTTGCGTCATTATCATGTAAATTGCTTTCGAAAATGGTCAGAATAAGTGTGTCAGATATTGTAGATACATTCTAGATATCCGACAGGTTTCTATCATTTGAAGTAGTATTGTTCATACGTGAGACAGAGCCATATTTATGGATTTTTTTCCAAATTTAGACGTCTGGCTAAAAACTTTATGAATTTTATAGAAATTTCGAAAGCTTCACGATTTTGCATGTCTTCCGTCGCAGGAGCCATGTATCGTTTCAGTTCTATTACATGTACCACCGAAGTAATTATGATTTGTATAGCGGTTATGGGTATACGATATGTTTTTATCTTTGTTCGGAACTGCCTTTGAAATAGTGCTGGACGTATGACATATTTTCCAGTTTAGTAAAACGAACAATAAAGCGAGCTTCATACGAGTATCATTTAAATGCTATCTGTTCAAGGTGACTTATTCTTCAACGAATCACTCAGTTTTTATTCGGTCTAAAGACATTGCTCAAGTCATTTAGGATAAAGATATACAACATGTTTGAATTATAATATCGTAATGCAGATGTCTCTAAACAAATAAAATAAATAAAAAAGCAGAATCAATTTATCAGCCCTGGTATCAATATTATTTAGAATTGTTTAAAAAGTAAATATTCCATTTATTATTTGTGGTATTGATTTTTTGCGTTCTGAATCATGGCCATTGCTATCTGCCGAAGCAAGAGTTAGTTGAGAGGTGAATGATACTCTAGACTGAATCGAATCCTCAATGATCATGTGATACTATCAGATAATTTTGCTTTTCACGGTCAAACCGTACAAATTCAAACCTGTATGTTATATAATCGCTTGTTCTATGCCAAACAGAGAAAATATTTTCCAGGCATGTAAAAAATAAGTGGACGTTATTAGAGTTACTTTCGTTCCCTGGGACTAATCAGACGGCAGTCATTTAAAATTTGTTGACGATTTTGGGAAAGGGCTTCTAGAAATGTTAAACTAGTGAAAAAAAATGTCATTTCATATTGTTTTTCCCGAATTCGAGATGTAACAATAAGCAAACTGTTCTAGAACACATATACCGAAACCTCAAGGTAACCAAGATATTAAGTTCCGAAAAGTCTGAATGAGCTAGCTTCGCCCAGCATCCAGCATGAAAAAGCATCATCATGACCCCCAAATCAGGCGCCGCGTGGTGTCTAGGTTAACCTATTTAAAAATCGAATTTGAAAAACCGAAATTGGCACATTCCTATAGCAATGCCGTGGTTATCGATTTGATGTTAGTTCAGGTAAGCGTCTTTAAGATGCTATTGATACTCCGCGAGTGTATTCAGATCGTTGTGCGGGATGTTTCCGTCCCAAGCCGCGCAGGCATATTTATATCGTACATAAGCCGTTAAGGTGGACACAGTAGAACCCCACATATTGCAGATTTGGAAATAAGTTAACAAACTTGTATTTTTGCAGTGAACGGCGACAACTGCAAAGAGCAGTTACAGTGTGACAGGGCAGCACCTGAAGCTCCTTATCAAATGAATGAGTACTTTTCTTCTATTTATTTTTTACCTTTTCGTTGTTCTACCGCGCGTTAGCTTTGTTATTTCAAACGTTTCTGTTTCTCTCAACTTTCAGGATACACTATATATTTGTCCGTTGATAGTAAAAGCAGTTTTGTCGTACCAAATACCAAAATACCAGAATCAAACATATTGGTTTGTAGGTCCAATCCAAGATGTTCAGAGAACAGTAAGAAGCAGTAAGAGGCCAGGGGCTATCAGGCATCGCCAGGAAAGTGAATTGCAAAATTACAAAAATGCTTGAAAGGTCATATCACCACTATTGTTTCAATCATAAATGAACAAATTACTCTTGTAAATCCAAAGAAACCATCCGGCTCTGAAGCTGCATGCAATGGAGAACAAGCAAAGAATGTGAAAATTATAGAAGCACAAATAACAATCGCCTTTTTGCATCTCCAATCTCGCAATTCCTAATTGAGGAATCATATCGCATATACTGCAGCGCAGCATGAAGAGTTAAATTATCCTTATATCTGCAATAATGATCTTCCGCTGCAAACAGAGTAAATGAAGGATTTGCATATTATGATAGGCATACTTTAATTAAGTGTTAATTACACCGCAGTCCCAGCTGCAACGCTCATTTGTTTCATTGTTGAAGATCAGTCTGCTTCAGTCTGACAGGAAGAAAGATGTTCCGCTGGATTCAGGTTTACGAACCTTTCAGAACGTTTTTTGCGCATTGTTAGTTTCACGGTGAGATGATCATTTTACATAGGCAAAACAATATTCGCGGTATTCGTTATGGAAGAAATTCATTTATTGATATTCGGTTGTTGTTCCTAATAAACGCAAATGTTTTTGTGCCGTAGGGAAAGGGAGTTTTTCATAACAAATATGGATTTTTTATACCTTACTTGATCTCTGTTGAAGCATGTCTATCATGTGCTTTTCAGAAAGATTCCCTTAACTTTTTTTATCACTGGGTCACGTTGGCAAGTTGAGAATTGAGATAATGAAATTGATGTAGACTATTATATTTTAACGAAAAAATAAGAGTTACAGATTTCGAGATGAGGACTTTTCAGTTCTCTGTAAATGTTTTGACTTATTGGGATAGGCTTTTTTCGAGAGAATTATATATTTTATACTGTAGCGTTTTGACGGAAGGTTGTTGAGTTATACTGATTAGAAAAACGCTGAATTTTGTCAGTCTGCATGACCGCCATTTTGAAAGATAGTAATTTTATATTTTAAGATGCCTCTGGGAATAATGTTTACCGTCAGTTTTACGCTAAGACATATTCATGCATCATTTTCATCAATTCGAATTTGAGCTTATTAGCTTGATCTAGCTATAAGTAATGGAGGAAGGGTCAAAAAGCACTCATACACAAAATATGGCTCTGGTAAGGAGATTGTTTGGTTTTTGAACTTTTTTGAAGGATTTGGGGAATGTATCATTAAAGAGTTTCTCAAGCTCCCATGCCTTTTATCTTGTGTATATTTTATTTCGGAAACTCGATCTATATCTTCAATAGATAGTAATGCTTGCGAAACACAAGCATACAGGGTGTTTCAGAACTAAGGGATCAAGCTTCTTGGTGTTATTCAGTGTAACAGTAGAAAACATTTGAGTATAGGGAAATTTGATACTCGTTTTGAATCATTTCAAATGTTGCTGCAACTCGTCCAATTAAGTCTTGCTCTGTTTCTATTGGAGTTTCGTAAACCAAAGACTTTACATGTCCCCAGAGGAAAAAATGTAGCGACATTAAATCGGATGATCTAGGAGGCCAAGAAACTGCTCCACCTCTGGCAATCTAACAGTGCCCAAACCGCTGAGCCAAATACTCACGTACTTGTACAGCAAAATGAGCCGGCGCTCCATCATGCTGAAACCACATTTGCTGTCGAACGTTCAATGGAACACTTTCAAGAAGTTCTGGAAGAACTTCCTCCATGCAACGCCGGTAAATAGGTCCTGTTAACCGTTCCGGTAGAAGGTATGGCCCAGTCAAATAATCATCAACAATGCCTGCCCATACATTGACAGACCAACGTTGTTGACGTTTTGTAGGAAAAATTGCATGGGGATTTTCTTTGTCCCAAACGTGGCTATTCCTACTACTAAAAATATCGTCTCTTGTGAAAGAGGCTTCATCGGTCCATAAAAAAACCGTAAAAAATTTGGTTGTGTAGCGATTTGATGAAGAAGCCATTGACAAAATTGAACTCTAGGATGATAATCGACTACGGTCAATGCTTGAACTTTCTGGAAGTGGTAAGGATAAAGTTGTTGCTCGTGTAGCACCCGCCAGACGGAAACGTTACTCGTATTCATATCCTCAGCAATGTGACGTGTGCTACTTGGTGGTTCGTCGGCAACTCGCTGAAGGACCTCTTCTTCAAATTCGACCGTTCTTGCGGTTCGAACAACACCAGTATCATGCATGTTGGTTTTAAACATGCCTGTCTCGGAGAGCCGCCGAAGAATAGCAATAAACTTTTTGTATTCCGGATGCTGTCGTTCGGGATAACGTTCTTGATACAACCCCACTGCTGCTCGCGCATTGCAGCTTGTTGCTCCGTATGCCAAATGCATATCCGCCAATTCTTGATTGGTAAAGTTTTCCATTAGGAACAATTAATTTTTGTTAAATTCTTGCAAACTTGAAATACGATAGCACGACAAGAGGATATGAAGTGCAGCTCCAAAAAACAATTTCTGTTATCATTTTTAAAGATAACAACACACAAGCGCCGGATATGGGTCCCTATACACTCAAATGTTATCTACTGTTACACTGAATAATTCCTACAAGTTTGATCCCATAGTTCTGTGAATTCAGTAGTGGATACGATAGAAATATTTCAGGCCTTAGTCCTAATCTCAAAATACGCTACGGTATTATAAAGTTTGCCGATAGTGGGTACTGCCAACATTTCATCGGAATCTAAAAGGTTATTTTCAAGTTATAGACGAGCAAATAACTACCTAACCTAGAATTTCATTGTCTGGCCGAGTCAAACCACAAATGTATGTTCATTGCACGACATTTGGGCCACCACGACGGCCTTTTTCAAGTACTATGACAGCATATTTTTGTTCATCTGTCTTTCTGGTGACAGTTCATTAAATTTTTATTCTCGTCATTCCTATACAGTCTGTTACCTCAATAGATTGACCTGATGTAAAACCAGAAGAGCCCACAATTTCTTGGGGTGGGCATGCCTGCTCCCAAAGCACAACTATATGTTGTGTGACTTGGCCTACGAAACACAGAGTCTCTGTAGTCCATTTAATTTTCCAGACAAGTGAGTTTACTGTTACTAACAAGAATTGCAAATGCTTAACGTATTTGTGACAAAACATGTGGGCACGCTATTATAGCCGATACCATTTAAA